CGCTGGGTGTCCATGGCTCTCGAATCCTCCGATGCTGCCATCCGCACTGAGCCGCAGCTGACAGAGTTTCAGTTCTGGTGGAATTAACCGTTATATACAAACCCAGGGTTACACAAGTCGCTTACGCAACCCTTACGCAGCCGAGCATGTGCGAGCACGGAACGACGGCGGGGGGCAGGGCTGTGCATTCCTGTGACTTTTTAAGTTAAATAACGCAAATAATCCGATCTCTACATTAACTTCCACCAATCACTGCAGTTCGTGGGAGTTTGATTTGCTTGACGTGTTGTATAACCCACAGAAATCAATACTTAAGTGTAGGTTTCAAAGACAGTAAAAAGACCTGTAACATAACACCGTTACTGAATTGTGCATTTCTGAAAGTCGCCACTCTCCCACTACTTCCTGCTGAAAAAAGCGTCTTACTGTTGTATCAGAAACACAAGCGCGTTGATTTAGAAGAAAACCGCGCTCTATTAATCTTTCAAATCACAGTTTAGGATTAACGAGTTTTACACTCGGAAGAGTTGAGTCGTTTCAGATAGTTAAGTATTCCGTATGTATGCACGGTAATCAATTCGTAATATTAATAATGCACGTTCGATACTCTGCTGAGGAAGAATGTTGCTGAGAGTTTTGAAAAGATACACGCCGGGTGTCCGTGTCTGGCTGATATTGTCGGCCGTACGTGCCTGCGGAACGAAAAACGTAACGAACGAAAAATGATAAAGGTGATCTAAACCTAATAAGTTTCAAACAAATATGAAAAATGAAACATATACAGCACGCACGAGCATGCGCGCATTGTTGTTTTGATTCCCAGGTGAACCACGCGAGTTTGAAATTGACTGTAGTGATCCAGATAGAGCGCAGCATTGTTAACTGCACAAAAACATAATTCATACGCACTCATAAAACCACACCATACTTTGCAAACACTGACATCCATAGAAACATGTTAGGTATATAGTGCATAAAGCCTCAAGAGCGTCACTGTTTGAAAAGTATGGTGTGGGTTTAAGAATGCGGCAAAGATCCATGACAATATACAAAATAAATAGGCGCTGAAGGTATCTTTAAATATTGCGTGACTAAACGTTCGAAGAGTAACGCCCATTCTCATGACTTGTTTAGCAGGGTGATGGCTGTAGGCAATAAAAGAATGCTTAAGTCTGTTGTTTTGAGTACTGGGAGACAGACATTGAGTGGAGATCCTGAAACTGCACGGAGGGGGTCCCCTTCGGCTTTGCGCCTCTCAGAGACGGCCATTTGCTGCTTTCCTATGATCTTACTGCTTAGCTACATTATTCTACCTAATCTGTTTCTGGTTCTGAAGCACAAATTTCCAAGCCAAGAAATCATTGTAAAGGTTAAGATTGGCTCGATGAAAGATCTGTAAAAGAGGATCATCACGGTTATATTTACCTTAAAATAACTAATTGTTCCAAGAAAGAACAGTGTTGGCTCTTCTTGCAAATAATGTGTGTTTTGTTCAAAATTTAGTTTCTTATCAATGGCTTTCCACAAATATTTATAGCAATCAATTAATTTAATATTTAATACAATTAATTGCACCATGATTGTTCTAGAGATGCAGGTTTTGTCTAAAATCAATCATTCCCTTGGCTTTTCTGGCATTTAAGTACTCAAACGAGTTTTTGCACTATTATCAGAAGTGTTCCAGAGCATGACCATGGCAAATGTGATTCTGATGAAGAAGACTCTCTGGCATCTGCATGGTGTGTGTTCAGAAGGTGCCTGCAGCCCTTCTGAACACCCCCCCCAGTCTCTCAGCTCAGCAGTGATGTGTGGTGCTCAGCTCAATGTGCAGTACTGAACACAGAGTGATGTGTGGTGCCCAGCTCAATGTGCAGTACTGAACACAGAGTGATGTGTGGTGCTCAGCTCAGTGTGCAGTGCAGTACTGAACACAGAGTGATGTGTGGTGCTCAGCGCAGTGTGCAGTGCAGTACTGAACACAGAGTGATGTGTGGTGCTCAGCGCAGTGTGCAGTGCAGTACTGAACACAGACAGGGACGCTCCCATGAGTCCCCACAGGGGCTCCATCATCACAGTGTGCTGGGAGTATATACGCACAGTATGTTTATGTGGGAGTAGGGGTCGACCGATATGGTTTTTTTCAGGGCCGATATGATAATGATTATCTGTTACAAAAAGAGGCCGATAACCGATATTTCAGGGCGATATTTAAATGCTTTTAACATGTTTTTTTTCGGTGTGAAAAGAAACAGGCTGTGACAACATGGACATAGTTACAAACCTTCTTTACTTAGTCATATGTTTTCAGGCATACATCAGTCACCACTATGAAAGTTAAATAAAGAGATCAAAGATCAAATGAAAATTCTTTCTCAAAGACAAAATAAACTAAAAATTGCAATAACTAAAATGTGCATTGTAATATTGACGTTGTGGGTAAATTTCTCTATGGTTATCTTATTTTGGCTATGCAACAGATGCCTATCGCTATTTCAAAAGCATTCAATTATCGGACGAACGATGGCAATCATTGCGTAAGAAATAAAGCGAATTGATACATCATTTAGGCTGTATTTTCATCATAAAGTATAAAATATCAAACCTTAAAACTAGCCTGTGCGTCCACGCTTTTCCTGAAGCTGCGGGGAGATTCTAGGAGGCCATTTGCTCATAACTCATTTATGTGAAAAATGGACAGCTCATACAAAAGTGGGGTACCGTGTGGAAGGACTGTGATAAAGTTAAAATACTGTGAAGTGTAAACTGTGTGCTGCAAATTTTTATTTTAATAACTCGACGTCCATGATAATGAGGCCAAAATAAGAAATATCAAAACGGCAAACGGGTATTTTCAGCTTTGCCGCGAGGTTCCGACATAAATGCAACCGCAAGCGAGCTGAAGTTTAATTTCATGAAGGTTTGCGTAAACGACGACTGCAATTCAGAAGGCTGTGCTTTAGGGTAAATTTCTTTGAATGTTTCATTTGAAAGGATAAATATACATTACTATTTGTTAAATGTGCAGTGTCAAACTGTTGCAACTTATAGCATAAGTGCACCAATTAGTCCTTACAACAAGTCCGTATTTATTTTAGGCTATATTCCAAGCTTGTTTTTAGCTTAAGCGTAGACCACTTATACTGCTTCAAAAAGGTCCAGTTAGCCTAGTGCAATTTGGTTAACGGCATGGTTTGAGCACAACGACCATTTTATTGGATACTCACCTTCCATCCTTGCTTCCAGCAGCTGAAAACATTAGATTTTCAAGGTTAGATAACGTTGTCTGTGTCGGCCAATGAGGGAATTTTGTGGAAAGAATGTTAGCATTTTTTTCTGACAGAGGAGATGCGTCGGGATAGTACACGCATTGCGTTTAAAAGTTTTTTTTTAAATTATTATTATTATCGGGAATTTCGATAAAAATATGCTGATAATAGATCAAAATCAAAAATGTGCAAATATCGGCCCCGATTATCTAACGACCCGATAAGGGGTCGACCCCTAGCTGGGAGTATATATGCACAGTATGTTTATGTGGGAGTATATATGCACAGTATGTTTATGAGCACTGAAATGCTAATCTTTACAGACCCAGGCTAATCTCCTTACAGGCTAAAGAACAGTATCACATGAAACAAACATCCCCTCAGTTTCTTTCCTTTGGCCTCCTCCTCCTCCTCCCTCCCCAGGGCACATTTGGCAGAATGGGCCAGACTGCACATGGCTGGGGTGGAATTAAGGGACCCAGAACATCAGCCCTCTGTCAATGTTTTGTTTGCATGAGTCTGGGACTCTGCAAATATGCTTACAGGAGATGCAGGGTCTGCTAGAATCTGTAAACATGCTGGTGGGAGATGCAGGGTCTGCTGGAATCTGTAAACATGCTGGTGGGAGATGCAGGGTCTTCCAGCCAAAACTGAGGTTTAACCGAGTGGCAGCATCTTCACTCACCTTCTTTCCCAGTCGGTGACAGATTGTTTGCTAAATCTAAAATTCTAGCCCATCAGGTAATTCACAGGAAAATATATTGAAATGTGAAAGATCAGTCTCATCTTCATTCATCAAATGTTGTAGAATGCATTGGTTGCCCCAGGGCAATTTAGGACTTTCCATTTCACTTACAGTGAGGAAACTGCCCCAGGGCATTGTGGGACTTTCTGATTCACTTACAGCGAGGTCATAGTTTGGACTCCCTCCAAGTCTCCAAGTTGGCTAAAGAAATCCACAATTGTATTTTAAGTAACAACTGACAGAAAAACCAGTGTGAAGTTCTGATAGTCTGGGCCTTGGTGAACTGTTAGCTTTGCTACAAACAAAGGAATCACAGTCTTTAGGCATCTGAATGTGATTTTAGCTCTAGTTTAACTCTTTCAATGGCCATTCAGAGTATGCTGCAAGTTTGCCATACTTCTGCAGCTCACCACGAAGACTGTGGGTGTATAAGGCACCTGCTCTTTCAAGTTCTTCATGAGTTGCCAGTGGACATCAAGCAGTCTTGATATTTTTGCTTGTTCTTTTTCACAACATGGTTTCACATGCAGTGAAGGACCACTAACAGGCAATGAAAAAGTCATTCAATTATAATATATTGTTCCAAAACACCTGTTTACAGTGAGCTGTCAGTATTGTAGAAAGACAGCAGAAAACATAAACCGAGCTGTAGAATAAGATGAACTGCAAAACAGGCAGAGCCAAGATGGAGATTAAAACAACCAATAAACTGCAAACTAAATGTCTAAATTCTTTCTTCTTAACAGTTCCAAATGCACTCCAAATCAGGCATCCAGATTAAAAGCAGCAAACAGAAGCAAGGACTTTAGTAGCTCTGATGCTCCGCGCTTTAGGCCACCTGACTGACTACAACAATTCAGACATTCTTATGATGTCACAGGGCTCACCAATCATGTTCATATGGCTATGCTGCACATGAGATGCTTTAGCTACTAATCTGAGACTGCATTGCACTATTTTATTCACCATGGTGTGCAAACAATAGTAAGGCCAGTGTAGCATAGTGGTAAGGAGTAGGGCTTTTAACCAAAAGGTTGTGGGTTCAATTCTCTACTGGGGCACTTTTGTTGTACCCTTAGGCAAGGTACTTAACCTACAATAACCACAGGAAATACTCAGATCTATAAATAGTTAATGTAAAATGATAATCTCTGTAAATTACTCTGGATATGAGTATCTGCTAAATGACAATGATATAATATAACATCAATAGTGTAGACTAGTGTTTCCCAACCCTACTCCTGGCAGCACCCTGTCCTGCATATCTTCTATCTATCCTTGCTCTACCTACCTGACTGAACTCATCAGTGGCACATTTTATCAGCTGAGTGCACCTGATTTAATCAAGCAGCAAGGATAGATAGAAGATATGCAGGACAGGGTGCTGCCAGGAGTAGGGTTGGGAAACACTGGTGTAGACAATCATTTAGCTCACCCTGATGCACGTGGGAAGTGTTCAAAAAAATCTAGCAGAACCCATTTTTAAATCAAGCTTTGTAGGTTTTGTGTTTGCTTAAGGTAAATTTACATTTTCCTTCAGGGATGTTGGAATGTACAAGAAAAAACTGCAATCCAAGTGCAAACTTTTGTTTCGGGGTAGGCTACGTAATGTTTACACTGTTGATTTACAAATTAAAACACTTTCAGCACAATTAGGGCGCCAGCAACATAAAAATAATTCGTTTTTCTATGGGTGCGTACTGGGGGCACGCGGATACTCTATCGACCGATTAACATCGCAGATTTCTTGGGTTAAGCACAACTCCTGAAGAACACACAGCGCGGGTCTGCACCACGCGCATGCTATCTTCGCAGACATCCCACCCCTCCCGGAAGTTCACGGAGCCTCCCGCATATTGATAGCGGCTCCCTGACGCCCGCAAATTATATACAATATCCCGGAAAGCGAGCGGGCGAGAGAGAGACGAGAGACCGAGAGATGGAGTGACAGACATAGCGAGAAAGTGGAGTGACAGAGAGAAGGAGCAAGCCACCCCTCCCCCTCCCGGTCGACCTCCTTGAAATGAGTTTTTGCAGGGTGGGATGTCTGTCTTCGAGTCCGCGTGAAAAGTCGTGACATTTGCATTCGTTCAGAAATCCGGCACGTGCATGCATATAAGCCCCTCACATTAATTATCTAATTATTTAATTGGAAGGAAACCATGGCCTCACTATGTAGTCACAGCCGCCATCAATTTCCAATCAGTGCCATCTTTTAAAATGACGAGTGGAACCGCGTGGTGCTTGAATGTGATAGAAGATCTTAATAATAATTAACGGCTTCATAACACAATTCAACCAAAACCTCCAAAACATGCAGCCACCTTCTGAGCACGGCGTTGACAGCTGTAACGATAGAGAAAATTATTGTAATCCAGATTTTGGATCAGGCAATGGCCCTGTTCGTTCTCTTGTGACGGTCAGTCCCACAGCTCAAAGGAAGCTTTTCAGCACACCTCTGCGCCCAGAGAAAGCGCGTCCCATCGGCGTGCAGCAGCCAGCCGCTAACACGTGAGTGCTTCCACTTCGTGGGAGTGGAAATGTTCTCGCACATATACGCGTAATCTGTCCAGATGTTTTGTGTAAAGTGAGGAGGGGTGGGATGTTGTGCAGTAAAAGCACCTGTAACCTCCTTTCCTGTATTCTGGATAAATTGTTTTGATGGAACAGTGAGTCTGAAGGGGAGAGTGACCTGAACGAGTTTCAGAGGGTCATGAGAAGGGAGCATCGGCAGGCATTGGCGAGTGTTAACAAGGCCTGTGTGGTCATGGAGAGAAACCGCAGGTATGCTTAACACCCCTACCCCCCACCCCCACGCCCGCAGGTGTGCCCGGCCCCCCCTTCTGCGGGTATCATATTCCTGTCTCTCACCTTCACATAGAGCTTGTGCTGTGTGACTCGGCTGTGGGCGGGCCTTGTCAGCACGGGCTTCTGTCACTGTTCACCATTGACACTGTTAGTGTTAGGTTGGGGTGTGTAGCTGAATTCTCCCCGTCTGGCCCAGGAAGAGGATCACGGTGAGCTGCAGCAGGCTGCGGCAGCTGCTGCCGCCGGTGCTGGGCGCCCGCAGTGACATGGTGACCGTGCTGGAGATGGCCGTGGTGTTTCTGCAGTGCATTCATGAGTGTGCGCTCCGACAGCAGTGCAGGGAGGTGAGGGCGTGGCCAGGCCGCCGCTGCAGTGTGTGTGTGGCTTTCTGTCCATGCAGCTGACTGCTGCTCTCCAGCTTCTGTTCCCACCAGGCGATCTGTGCCGGCGCTGGCTGTCCAGGATCCGGCAGAGGAGGCTGCTGGGACGGAGGCTGGGCTGGGCGGAGGAGAGTGGCACAGTCAGGTGACCCTCCCCGTGAGCCACCAGGGCCCTGACTGCTGGCATTTTACTGCTTTAGGGCTAAATGTGACTTTGGTAATGCTAACTGTGTGCGTGCGTGTGTATGCGTGCATGTGTGTACGCATCAGATACAGCTATTCAGTGCCAGATGTTCTGAAATGTGGATTCAAATAAAGTTGTGTGTGTTTAGAGTGAATGTTGACGGCTGAATGTTGACTGTAGAGGAAGGGAGCATGCAGAGGAGTCAGGAAGCAGTCCAGAGGGGGCCAGAGGGATGCAGCAGCAGGCCGGTGAGGGATCTCTGACCCCCATTTCTACCTCTATTGCTTTCCATTATTTTGCTACCTGTTAGGCAGCACTCACAGCTAGCTAGCACATTGACTGCTGAAGTTACATCTAGCTACGTTTAACAATTACATTACATTGATATTATTTCACATCTGCAGAACAAATGCTGCCTAATCTAATGTATAATGCTGCAAAAAAGCAGAAATGGGAGCTGGAAGGACCCTGAAACAGGGCCTTGCTGCTCCTCCGCTTGTGCATATGAATGTTTGATTAAATGGTTTCAGCTCCTGAATGTTTTACAGTGATGTTAATCCTGTCTGTGTGTTTCCCTGGACTGATGACCTGTGTGGCCTTCCCCTCAGATACTCTCCTGGAACCTCAGAACATGGCCTCACCAAGACCAGCCCCCCCCCTGAGGGAGCAAACACCCCTCAGAGTTTCCGCCCCCTCCTTCTGGTGCTCTCCAGCTCTGATGTTGGCTATGACCCCTGCTTACCAAACCCCGCAAGCAACTTCCTGGAGCTACTGTGTGCGTGAGAGAAGGGGAGAGAGAAACTAATAACTGTGTGTGCATTTGCGTGCAAGGCTTTATGGCAAAAGTACTGGGGGGGAAAAAAATTTTTGAATTTGGGACATATTTTTGCACTTGTGGCTGAGCGCAGCAGCGGGGTGTGGTTTGGGTGTGGTCATGTCTGTGGGTTTGTAACTTGATTGATCTGTTGTGCTGGAAAGAACACTTCTGAATGTAGAGGGATTTGACATGTCCTTGTGTAAAGCTTGTGTGCTCACACTTGCTTCCAAATTAGGACACACCCCATTTCTCTGAGGACACGCCTTGTCCAAGTGCCCAATGGCCACATGTCTCGGAGAACCAGAACAACCTGTAGGTGATATCTTCGCAGGTAAATAGAAATGCATTATAGTCTTGTTTGAGATTCACTCATGTGAAGCTTGAATTTTTCACCTTTTGCTCTTGCTTCCCACAAGCCCCTGCAGTGAGACTCTAATCTTTCTACCTTTCCTGAGGATGAGCTGCTGCAGTAATGGCTGCTGTTACCAACCAGAGATCTGCTCATTCATTTACTTCCAAATCGATGGCTTCTGTCCTGCTGTCAGGGACGAATCGGATGCAGGGCTTTGAGGCTGTGCTACGAGTGCTGTGTTCTTGCGCATGTTATTCAGACTAATACACATTTCCTGCATTGCGTGTGTGCGTGACCCGCGGCCACCGCACCCCCTCCCTCCCACAGAAAGGGAACTATGCTCATTTGTACACATGGTCTAAAATGGTCATTTAATCTAGAAGTTAAATGCAATAAAATGTTTGCACAAGCATACTTGCCTTCAGTTTCAGGTTTTTATAATGGCTTTGAAAACATTTGGAGGTGCACATTTCACATTACACTAATGATCCAGTGAAAGGTACAGTAGTATAGGGTAGTAAATCTGGAATATTCAAGAGCACTGTTGTCTTTTGAAGGTAGTTTTGCTGCCCTGCTGATCAGGAAAACTTGGAACAGAGGGTCTAGCAAAGCAACTCAGTCATTCTGTTGGTTTAATATCATGGAATGAATTAAAATTTAACATTAAGTGCTTTGCTTTCCAGACAAAATGTGTATCTTTAAAAGCATCTTGAGAGAAATCATGAAAAAATGTCATTCAACTTTGCCAAATGGAAAATGCAATAAGTTGCATGTAGCTTTGACTGTTGCAAAGAAACATGATGGCTGCAATGGAAAAATGTGTTTAAATGTTCAAATGTGGCTATACACTGATGAGCCAAAACATTATGACCACTCACAGGTGAACTGAATAACATTGATCATCTCCAAACAAGGGCAGATGTCAAGGTCTGGGTAGATTAGATGGTAAACAAACAATCAGTTCTCGGAGTCAACATGTTGGATGCAGGAGTAAAGACCTGAGCGACTTTGACAAGGGCCAAATAGTTATGGCCAGACAACTGGGTCAGAGCATCTCTGAAACAGCAAGGCTTGTGGGGTGCTCCTGGTCAGCAGTGGTGAGTACCTACCGACAGTGGCCCAAGGAGGGACAAACCACAAACCGGCAACAGGGTGTTTGGCGCCCAAGACTCATCAATGCGTGAGGGCAACGAAGGCTATCCTGTCTGGTCCGACCCGACAGAATGTCTACTGTGGCACAAGTCACAGAAAATTTTAATGATGGTTATGACAGGAGTGTGTCACAACACACAGTGCATCGCACTCTGCTGCATATGGGGCTGCGTAGCCGCAGACCGGTCAGAGTACCCATGATGACCCCTGTCCACCATCGAAAGCGCCTGCAATGGGCACGCGAACTGGACCTCGGAGCAGTGGAAGAAGGCCGTCTGGTCCAATAAGTCCTGTTTTCTTTTTATCACATGGATGGCCGTGTACATGTGCAGTTTACCTGGGGAACTGATGGCACCAGGATGCACTTT